GTGATGGAATTAATAAAAATAGAGAAGATTAATGGAGAAAGTATACCGCCTTGCGGTACGCCAGAAATCAGGTCAACCCACTGTGAAGTCACTTGCTCCACGTGGACAGACTGTTGACGTCCGCGAAGATAAGATGAGAACCATTCCAGGACTGGCGGTGCAAACCTATAATAAGAAAGGATAGCAAGAAGGATATCATGGTCAACTGTGTTAAAAGCATTGGAAAAGTCAACGAGCACCACAACTGTAACTTTCTTGTTTTCCATTCCTTCTCTAATGTCTTCAGTTATTTTAAGTAAGGCAGTTGTAGTGCTGTGACCAGGACGAAAGCCGGACTGAAAAGTACTCAGCAGGTTATGTTTATATATGAAATTGGAAATTTGCTTATGAACACAGGCTTCCAAAACTTTAGATAGGAAAGGTAAAACCGATATGGGACGGAAGTGATTGGGAAGTGTTGGATTGGATACTTTAGGAAGGGGTCTAACGAAAGCATTTTTCCACTGACTCGGAAACTGACCCGAGTCAAGCGAAAAATTAACAATATGTGTGATTGCGGAGATAATGTGTTCTAGAATATTAACAATCATGGCTCTGCTAATATCATCGCAACCGACAGCCTTGGATTTTATTGCCAGAAGGATCTTTCTGATTTCATCCTGATCTACAGGGTTAAAAAGAAAGACTGGTATGTGTGGAGACGGAATTGAGGCTATGTAAGCGACTGTTTGGGATCGGATTGAAAGGTCCAATGCAGAAGCAGAAGCAAAATGAAGATTTAAAGCATCGTGAGAAAGCGATAAACCACAATCCAAAGAGGGTGTTTTGCCCACACCTAGAGAACTAAGAAATTTATTTTAGTTAAGTTTTATTTTATCATTATTGATTTTAATATGTCTGCCTTTTAATATTTTATTGCACCATCTCTTATGCAATCTTTGAGGGTCTGAACTATTTACAATTAATTTGATCAACAAATTAATGATAAGGGTCCTTACTTTTTATGTTTATGTCATGTTGTAAATTTTAATTTGATATTTATTAAAAATTTAATAACTTGAAAGATCCCATTTAGGGGGAATCATTGGTCAAATGTTTTTAATAATTTTTGTTATAATCTCCTCAACACATTATGAAGTTTTGTGAAAGTTGCAAAACCGTTTTTCTTGAAACTACAAATTTGATGTATTTGCTTGGTGTGGTGTTGTCTTACAAAGATCATCATTACAATTATTACATCAAATACATACCTATATTAATTTTTGTAATTGCGTATTGTGTGGTCGTAATTACGTCGACGGAAGTGCCATTCTATTGTATATTAAAGTATTCTATGGTATGTTATAATACATAACATATAAGATGCTCATTTTGTTAAAAAATATATATTGATTTACACATGTAAACAATGGTATAGTGGGCATAAGAAATTCACTTTTGTAAATTATTTGTATTTAAAAAAAAGTATAGTTATTATACACACATTTAAAAAAATAGTTATGTTACCAAAATATAATAACGTTATCAAGTACATATTTTAAAGATTAATAATGCTGCTCCAAAATGTATCTTTTAATATTAAGTAAAAGATGCAACAATTAATTGATACTAATTCTTGAAATTATGGAAGAGGAGCAAACCTTTGGAGAGGATTCAATTATCAGTGTGCTCTTAAATGGGAAGTAGTTGAGTCTTGTGGATACCACTGTTTTTCTTGGTATTACTATAGAGTCATGCGACTGACATTGAAGCCATATTTGTTTTATAAAAGAGAGCCGTACGTTTAATTTATATTTTAAATTGTAAAGAGTCGCGTAGAGAAAAATTTAAAGACATAAATATATTAACTTTGGCATAGCAATATATTTATGAAAATGTAATAATATAATAATAATAATAATATAATAAAATAATAATAATAATAAAATGGCATAGGGAATTGACGACCCCATCGCCCGCTGACGTAACAGTTAAGTGACAAAACTGCTACGTCAACGCAGTCAGTCAGCGCCTTGCGAGAGGTGTGAGCGCCGTGCCTCGGCAGAATTTAGGGTGCAAAGGCCCGTTTGTGCTTATGGCCACACACGATACGGTGCCGGGCCTGGGCGTCTCCCGTTAATCGACGCCCAAATAATGGATGATGGATAAGAAGATAGTGCGCAAAGGGCCGCTGCCTGGGGGTCGCCGGGGCGCGTCTGGAGCTGGCGCTGGACGCGGCAGCATGCGGGCCGCCAGCCGAGCGCGAGGAGCTGCACGGTCACCTAGCAGCCCTCCGCATCCATCATCACCACCAGAAGGCTTCGTGTCGGCTGGGTCTTCTCGGACTCAGCAAGCGGCACCCGCCACTGGTGGAGCACGTCGCATGCGTTGGTCACAAGTAATGAATACAAACGCACTGCGGGCGTACTTTAGGGCAAAAGGGAAAGAAACTGGATGTTTGGCGTACCGGCCTAGGATGCATCGTCTTTTTGCTGAGCTGGAATCATCTTTAACTGTCACAGAGCAAAACCTGGCAGACCGAGTTCAGTATATCTTGCGCTCAAATATATTTGATGTCGCCGAACTCGAACGGCTACGACGTGAGGCTGTTCCCTCATCGGATGAAAATGCTACGGCTGAGGATGCAGCGCCACAAATGATAGAGCAACCCGCAAACGTGGATGCCGCCGTGAATACCCCAGTTGTGGTTGATTCAAACGATGATGGAACAGTCGCCCAGGAACTGGAATTAGAGCATATGAGGAGTACATTGGAAGAGGCGATTGTGGAAACGCGCAGTACGCCTCTCGAAAATCGACCGCGACTTCCCCGCATAGCCCTAAGCAAGCGGAATCGAGCTGTCGTGAGGGCTCTGAACCCAATGCTGGTGACCTATTTGGAAGCCAGCCGGGACCTTTGCGAGACGGACTCAATTCTTTTTGGCGCCGCGCTGGCAGTCTGCCGTATCATAGGCGCCAAGGTTTCCACGGCTGGACGCGCTACTGGCCATAGTAGCGCTATCCCAGCATGGAGAAGAAGAATTGAGGAACGTATCGCAAAGGCTAGAGCTCTCATCGGCAGACTGATATGCTTCATATCAGGCAATAACAGGCCAAGAATTGTGCGCACCGTCAGGATGGCGTTTGCTGGGACAAATGTCAGTTTGTCCCAGCCGGATATAACGCAAAAACTGACGGAGCGCATAGATGATCTGAAGCAAAGAATCGCTGCTTGGGACATTTTCATAGTTCACATACTTTTTACAAATATATACAATACATTATGAGGACCAATTTGAAATGGGTAGAAACCTGCTTCTCCTAGCTAGGTTTACTTAGTAACCTGTATTTAGGAGAACAGTCCCATCTCCCCTGTTGATTAGGAATACATAGGTGTGGGCGGGCGGGCGGATGTACGTGCGTGCGTGCTGTGGTGTGTGTGTGTGTGTGTGTGTGTGTGTGTGTGTGTGTGTGTTTGTGTGTGTGTGTGTGTGTGTGTGTGTGTGTGTGTGTGTGTGTGTGTGTGTGTGTGTGTATGTGTGTATGTGTGTCAGTACATGTACATGTATTAAAAAAATTATAAAATAAACATATAACAATGCGATGTAATTTTATAACAATGTTAACAAGTATTGCTGTGTATCCATCATATTATGACTTATTTAGCAGGAAAGAGCGGACAGAAGTTTTACAATTAAATGTTGACATATCGTAAATCTCTATTTTTGCATTTATTTCGTTGTAAAGTAAAGGACCTAGGTAATAAAAATATCTTTTTATAACTGAAAAATTGACATTGTGCAAACTAAATTATTGTAAAGTGAAATATGTTTAAAAAAAGTCCCGCTGGGTTTCTTGCTAGTTCTGCCTAGGACAGAGGTATCTGTAATAAATAAAACATGACTTTCAATAAGTATTATGTAATAATCTATATTTAATAATTATTATTCTATTGTATTGTATTCTCTGTAACATAAGATATTTACTCACTTTTAACTGACGAGTTAAAAAGAATAAGTTTAAAGAAATCAATTGATATTGTGCAAATATTGTTAAGTAAACTTAAACACATCTAATGTTAATCAATAATTTAAGCAAAGAATTTTTAAACAATAAACATTTAAAAAATATCCGATTTTTATTTTTTGTAATAAGAACTAGAAATTAGCACAAGAAATATAAACAACCATTAATTACATTGCAGCAGTTGTGCAATTTAATTAATGTTTGTAAAGTGCAAATAAAGGGCGGGCTCAAACCACTCAATTTTACGCCACCTGATGGATGAACACGGAACTTAACGTAAATAAAAATTCAGTAATCTATGCTCGGCATTCTTCTAAACGTCAGTCGGTTTCTCTATCTAGTCTGTGTTCTAAGGATTCTTCTCTTCTTGAGATTTTGTTAATTTGTTATAATACATAACCTACAAGTTCAAACTTTGATTATTTCCGTTTTATTAACAAGTAAGTGTTTATAAGTTATGATAACTGAAAAATCTGTTTTATCCGATAAATATTCAGCGGGTCCTCATGGCTTAGGTAAGTCAGATTCGTATTTATCTTATTAATTTTAGTTACCACATACAAGTCATACATACAATTTGTTAATATTCTAGGTGATCCAGAAGACAGAACATTGAGAAAAGTAGAACTAGAAGTATTAATACCCAAACTTATGAGAGAAAAGGCTAAAACTGAAAAATGCATACAAGAAGTGGCAGATTTCAATCATTGCTGCAAAGAATCATCAATACTGATGGTCGTTAAATGTAGAAAAGAGAACTCTGTGATGAAATCTTGTCTATCCAGTTGGTACCTAAATGAAGATTTCAGAAAATTATGCACAGAAGAATATTTAAAAGAGAGAAGTGAATATAGGAGAACTGGAATTAAAAAACCAATGAAAAGGGCATAATATATAATCATTTTTATAGTAGGGAAGTAATGTTAAATAGAAATTTGTTTTTAATTATAACAGTTTACTGTAAAAGTGTAGTTTAAAAGAAGAAAATACAGGTCATTACTCAATATCATCATTTATTGTTATTGGAATGTTTCTTGACACTAATAGCTCCCGTACACTATAATCACTCAAATCTTGTAGCAGTATATGGGAATCCTTGTTAGGCTTAATAACTTCTGCAATTAACACTTCCTGTAATAAGTAAACATTGTTAATAAAATAAAGAAATGTTAACAATTTTGCAGTGCTAAAATATTTTTTAAAGATTACATTATTTAACCATATTTGAATCTTCTGAATTTTAATCCTGAATCTTGTAAATGCTTAATAACCCATTCCCAAAAAATGGAATGTTTATAGATTACACTTTTATAATACAGTTTGTCATTTGTATGATATTTAAAGATAGATAAAATTATACCTTCAAGAATGTGCAATCATTTTAAATAAGGCAAGGGTCTGACATAATATAAAGGATTCTGTATTGCCATTATAATCATATCTTAAAATAAAAATTGGTAAAAATAATTTTATCATTCATTATGACTTGTGAAAGGCTGTTACAGGTCCACTGCTGAACATTTGCCACACTCAAGAAATGGCGCCAAACACAGTCCTGAGCCACCTGCATGTCACATAGTTCTCACTCCATTTAGTGGGAAGACACCCTACACTAAAAAGCATTAACTTACTAATATTTACATCAAATCAGTATCAAAATAAAAATTAAATCATTCAATCTTTCAATCAAAGATTTAAATAAATAAATTAAAATTATTTATTTTTCATAACCACATTTTCCTTGAATTAGAATGCAATTCAACAACATGAATGTTACATATAAAAAAAATCCAAACAAGCACTGATTAACTCCAACTCTATCTTAAAATCACTCACTATAAAAAAAGCAAGAGCTTTTGACATTTTAATAGTGAAAACAGCTAAATGAATAAAGAATATAATTAAAATTTATGTCATGCAAAATTTTCAACACTTATGCCATGTCTTTAACAAAAGATATCTATGCAACACAGCAACAGCATAGATAGGGAAGGAGCGAATATATGATTTTTATGATAGTAAACTTGATAGAGATGTAAAGATGATAAACATATAAAATGAGTAAATATATGATATGAATGAAATTTATCAAATTCAAGATATTTAATGTGTGACCCTTAGAGTATTTATAAGCATAGCTTGCACTACATTGCTACACTACACATTGCTTGCTTGCGTGTACATAATTTAAGTTGTGACTACACTTACCAACCAGAGAAAAATAAATAATCTTACAGCCTAAATGAGAGGATTATGAAGCAGTTAGATTCTTATGCCATTAATAGGTAATTTTTTATTCACCGCCAAGTATAACCCTTTCAGAACGGCTTGTACTAATCGTGCGTTGATGTTTAAAAAATTGTACTGATTACTGAATTTTATTTTACCGCGCGGAAACGACTTCGATCGTTTGTGCATTGATTTCGTTTTATAATGCGGAGAGTTGCGTGGGAGTAGACCATATTAGTGGCGTGTCGTGACGTATTCAAGAGGGACGTTCACTTTGTGGATCGCGACGGTCGACGTGAGTAAATTATTTTTCATTATTACTTATCATATTTATTATTTTTCATATCAAAATAGCTAATGTTGATATTTACGTTCATTAATATTAAATAATCCTAGTAAATTTATAAGTTTTAACTGTCGTAACCGGCCCGCGAAATTTAAACGCACGATCGTGCGTTGTCGTTTTTAATTGTTTTCCGTTAGTTAAATGTTCATACCAATAACCTCGCATTTTTTTTCTCAGAACAACCTCTAAACTACGAGTTGTTACAAAATGTGCTTGGAGATGGGTGTCAATCAGACCTGGACATATCGGATAAGGAGACAGAATCGGCTGTCAATGTGCCTCGACTACTAGATGATGAAGGTGATATACCCCCAGAGATTTCACCAGGTAACCATAACAACGACAGTGACTCATATCAAAATATGACTTTGACATAGCTGCAGTATATAAATCAGGAGAACTTTCCCCCACCTGCAAACTCCTGCCACCTCGAAATGCCTAATTGTCGTCAGGCACAAAAGAGATCTGGAATCTGGAAAGCTGTTACTTTTACTGATGTCGAGAATAATTTTCGTTATCGACCGGAACCCTCTGAAACTAAAACTCCGCTGCAATATCTTTCTACAAATTTCAATAAAGATTTTTTCAAAAATACCGCACAATGCAAAATTTTGTACTACCTGCGTAAAACTGGGTCAGTCGTGAGCATAACTTCTCAAGAGATGTGCAAATTATTTGGTATACTTTTATTTATGCGCTGTATACCATACCCACGAATTAATATTATGTACTAGCGTACAGGTATGCACCTGGAATTAATCACTAGTCAAATGCCAGAAGACCATTATTTCTTATTAAGAAATAACATGCACGTAGTACCCACAGATGAACCACCTTCAGGAAATTCAAATCCGCTGTAGAAGGTACAGCCCGTTCTCGACGCTGTTAAGAAGGCTTGGTTGTCTCTCAAAAGGATGGCAGGTGAATACTCAATCGATGAACATATTATACCTTACACAGGGGAAATGTAAATTGCGAGATCATTAGTAAAGGATAAACCGAAACCACTCGGATTAAAAAAATTACATCGTTACAACAAGTGACGGGTTAATTTTTCAGGTTTTATTTACTATACTACCATTTAAGTATTGATTTTTTGTTGTCTAGAATGACTTTTTATTTTGACGATAATAGTACTTAAGATAATAATTAATATGATTTTGTTTTTCTTTTCGTTATATAAAAGAGACTGATTTATGTAGACTAAGCAGTAATTTATGTGTAAAAATACCAAAATTCGTTGAAATAGAAGTTAATATCAAAATACTGTGTTATTAAAAGTAATACTTTCTTTAATAATAATTAAATAAATATATTAGGAAACATTTTTTTACAGTTTTATTCCCTATGCACGATCGTGCGTTAGCACACTTAAAAACGAGAGCGCACGTACGTGCGGGGGGGGCTACAGCGAAATTTAAAGAGGGGGGGATTTTTTCTATTTAATATTTTAGCCATTATATATCTAGAATTAAATGTAAAATTTTTGAGAAGCAGGATTATTTTTTGTCCTTCTGAAAGGGATAAAGTACAATGTGAATATTAAATGATATAAATATATAAAAAACAATATATAGGAGAGTAATGAATTATAGATCTATTTTAATGCATTTTTTAGGAAAATACGTTCGGGAGAAATTTGAAAGAACCATTGCAAACCTCAAAATAAATAAGTAGGTATTTCTTGTCAGATATATTACCTTTACTGTTGTTGAAGCCACTCTCACATGACCTAACATTGAAATGCAGTCATATTTTTCATTAGAATATTTTATTAAAACAATAAAGTCTGCATGGTTTATTCCAGGACCTTCTTTGTACAAAACTAAAAACAATGTAAATTTTTTATCTCATTAATACACCATTGCTTGCTTAACCATATCTCATTAAAACTGAAGATATATTAATTTGGTACTTAAAATATAATAATACAATACTTATTACTAAAAATGTCTTTCATTTAGTACAACAAACTTTTAGGCTATTCAAAACTCTTGCCGTGTTATTTAAACACTTACTTTTCACAGTAACCAGAGTTAAATCCCCACTAGCACCGAGGAAATTGTTAATTGCAATTTTAAGTGCTTATTTGCCAGATCCTTAGTAGTGAAGGAAAACATCTTGAGGAAGGAAAATATTTGAGAAATTACATTTATAATAATTATATAATACCAAACAATCATTGTATTTATTGCAATTTCAATATATTTGCATTTTAAACCTACACTGGATTAAACTATAATTAATATTGTCCCTAATACAATTATCAGATACTGAATTCAGTTCCATACAAAATAGGGATAGCCAAACTATATTTATATGCATTTTACACTGAAATAAATTCTGTATAGTTGACAACTTTCTACAGGCAAAAAGACACAACATTTCATACACCCATAATAAGATGCAAATTACTTACGATATTCACCGCCAAATTTAATACCTGACTTCACTATGTACCCTTTAGATCTAAAATAGTGGTACACAACATATTTTTCTATAAAGTATTTATCATTTTCAGTAAATAACTCCCAACACTGTTCTATACTTAGAGCATTGTTATCAAGGCTGCAAATTTGTAAACATCCAAGGCCATATAACAAGAAAAAGCTTTCTTGTGTTGTGAGCATAAGCTTTTCTGGCAACTTAATTTTGTTTATACAACATTTTGGCTTTAAATTTGCAAAGTAATCATCATCTTCAGAATCACTATTTGCTACTATGACTACTATATCTTCTTTATCATGGCTGTGAAAGGAGTTACATGAGTAAGATATGTGAGAGTCATCCCCATCATCAATACCATTTTCATCACTAGACACCAAGTCTATCACATCTGCTTTTAAATATTTTTCTGCATCACTTTTTATTTTGGAATTTAATTTATCAATATCCATAAGATATGAATCAGAATTTACACTTTCCTTACAAATGCCATAATATTTTTTATACCAGGAGATTCTTTTGAGAAACTGTCTTTTTCGCATTATTACAGGATTATTCTGAGCTGCTTTGGGTTTAGATCGTGAAGATGACCCTTTGCCAAAGCATCCCATGTGGTATAATAGGGTTACTTCATCAACAGACCTAATCTCGATACCAAAGCCATTATAATATCCAGTAAATATAATTCGCATAGAACCATCTAGTGGTAAACGCAGTGATGACTCAACATCCATTAAAAAAGAGCTATTTGGGTCATTAGTTTGACAGTTTGGTTTTGTTTCTAAAGTAGTCATGACAAAGGAACTGGCCAGTTCCCAAAATTTATTTATAGACAAATGTGTCACGGGGTCAATCACAAATTATGAATCTGTAAAACAAAAAGAGAAGTTGTTACCCCAAAATTGATTATGAACCACGAAACAAAATTTTAGCATTAAATATACCGCTTTCACAAAACTATAGAAACATGGAATCACAAAATTCCCGCGACGGTGACATTGACAAATACAACCGTAAGTAAACTTTTGTTTCAATATGTTTTACTTTTTGTGGTACTTGTAGGTGGAAAAAATGTCTACTGATTTCTTACATTACATAAACTTAAATAGGTTTATTATTCGTTCATTATAGCAATGAAAACACAGTGCACAGGGGCATGGTCAAATTAGAATATTTTTCTTCTTTTTGATAAATAATAAATGACTATGAATAATTATTCATTATTTGGAACAAAATGACGAGGCCATGTAGTGATAACAATTATATAAACTTTTAGAGAGTAGATAGGAGAGTGTTATAATAACTATTTGCGTGCGTATTTATTATTAAATTCCTTGAAATATGTAAAATTTTTGATTCCTTGTTTGTTATGAGGTTATGACTTAAGATTATGACTTTCAGGTTTATTAAGGTTTTTGCTTGGATGCTTGTCTTTTAAGCCATGTCTTCATTTCATTCGAGATCTGCGTTTTATTGATTGTTTCTCCACAATATGCTGATGCGTCCTTTGTGTATTCAACCAATTGGAGAGGGACCAAACGCGTTAATTCCTAAACAATAGTCTGTAACTTTCAGGGGGCGGCGAGGAAAACACACTACCGTCTACTTCACTACAAATGCAAAATTGAATCGCGTTACTATACACGCACACTACAGCATTTGCGTTGGTGTTCATTACATTTACGCAACCATTAAATTGTACACGAATCGATACACTGTTGCCGCTGTGCTGGCAACGTAGGGCGAGGACTATGTAGATATTTTTATCGACAATCAAAACATCACAGTCCGCATAAAGTCAGCCTTTGGCTGCTAGCGTGGTATTCCATCAACTGTTTAATTTTCATTTCATACATGACCAAGTTACAATAATATTTTTATTAGGGTTACTCTACGCTCTCAATTTTAATGCCGGCAGCGCCGTTTGAGTAAACCCTGGTCGGCCATTGATGATAACTTCACCAGTAAGTCAATATCCGTGGTGGAGGCAAACATGTTCCAAAATATTTACGTACATAGCGATAGGCTTTTCGCTAATAATCAAGTGTTAGGGCGAAACGTCTTAAATCTGTGAAATATTAAGTTCTAGGCAATCTTCCAGTCTTACTCTTAAGTAATTGTCTCTTTAAAAGTTCGCTTCCTTCAGTTCCTATCGTTTCTAGTATCTGTTTGTTTTCGTTATATATCAAAGATATCTCTGCCAGCGAATCTTATATTTTTTGCAAACTTATAACTTTTTTCTTTAAATACTGTTACTGCGATTGAAGCTCTTTTATCCTATTGCCTTTTATTTCGAGGCGTTTTTTTTAGTTTAATTTTCCTTCGTGCATAGTCTGTTCGCTTAGATACGGTCGTTTTTGTGCCACGTCGCCTCCGCACGTGCCGCATTTTGTTAAAGGCGCGACATTAAAATTCTTGCTGTAAACCACCCGAAAAAAAATTGGTAAGATTAATTTCATTCAATGTGTAGTGTTCGCGTAAAATATAAGAAGTCATTATTGTAAACTTATCGAAATTCTAATACATTTTCAAGAAGAATAATATATGTGTCAGAGGTAATAATAAAATATTTAATCTATTGATATAGTTGCACGCACAGTTAATGGCACTAGCGCCATCTGGTATCAAGTATCAGAAACAGTAGTGTCAAGATCTTTCTAGAACTCTCCTATTAGCGCGATGATGCTTGCTTTCGGAGTGAAACAAAGTGAACAAAAGTGTTAAGTGTGAATAATTATTAGTGTGATTTAAGTTTTAATTGGTGTTCAGTAATTAAAGTGTCAATTTTGGTAATTCAATTGGCATTTTTACTGTCACGAACCCTAAGCTCGTAACAATATAATTACAGCTAAGCATGACCTCCCATAAGTTCAAGGTTGATACAACAGTATCAGCTAATCTTCTTTTATTGATAGCTTGGAAAATGTTCGGAGCAAATCAATAGCGTAGCGTGGGGGAAGCCGGGGGGGGGCAGTTATCCGTTTTCGTCATACGTATTTTTTTTTATTTTTTTATAAAAATAAATATTAACAATGCTATAAACATTACTAATATTCCCCTTAACCACTCGTGGTAAGCTTAAAGTGCTTGTGTTACGAGTGGTTCACGCCAGTAGTCGAATAGTGGATTCGAACCCACGACCTTGTTGAGTTCGCGGTCCGCGCCCTGCCATTAGGCTACTGTCGCTTATAATTACGTCATACGGAGCAAAACCTGGCGGACAGAGTTCAATACATCATAAAGTCCACGCGTTCTATCTTGGCCAGGCTGTAGTTGGCTCTCTGAGACATTCGCGCGTGTACGAAATACGATCATGGCGGCCTGATTGGACGTTCATAGAGATGTCGCCATAGATTACTGTATATATACGATGTCCCACTTCATATTCGCTCCTAAGGTTGCTTAGGGAAATAGTTTGTTTATGGATTATATAATAAATGTAAAATTATGTTTACTATAAAAATATGTAATACAATTAAACAATCTTCATCATTATCATCATAATTACAGCCCTTCACAAGTCCGCTGTTGAACATAAGCCTCCCCCAAGGAAGTGCGGTCCTGAACCACCTCCATCCATCGACTTCCTGCATATCTTACCAGGTCGTCACTCCATCTAGTGGGGGGTCGCCCTACATTACGCCTACCGGTACGAGGCTGCCACTCGAGAATATTTCTTCCCCATCGGTTATCGGTTCTCCGAGCTATATGACCGGCCCATTGACTTAGGTTTACTAATCCGTTGAACTATGTCGGTTGCTCTGGATCTACTGCAGTTATCCTTGTTTTAAATGCTATCATGCAAAGAAGCCGAGCATAACCCTCTCCATAGCTCGCTGAACGACCTTGGGCTTCATACGAACAGCAGTGAAGGACCACGTCTCAGGTCATCACTAGCAACACACATTGATTATACAATCTCGTTTTGAATTTTTGATTTATGCCTGACGAGAACATGTGTCGTAATCTCCTGAAAACTATCCCGACGAGTTCAACCCATCGATTGACCTCTCGGTTAAAGTTGGACTTACCTAGTCGGACTATTTGTACCAAGTAAACATACTCGTCAACAACTTCGAGCTTAGTGCTACCAACAACAATTGGCGTAGGTGTGACGTGGATGTTACACATAAGCTTTGTTTTACCAATGTTCATCTTAAGATCAATCCGTTGGGAGGCACTATTAAGGTTATTGAGCATAGTTCTTTCCTCCAGCAATACTGCCATAAGGACTAAACCGTCGGCTAATCGAAGATGAGTTTCTGTGAAGTGTCTTGAGTTCTGTGAAGTGTCTTGAGCATAGCACACTATTTTTGATAGGAAACCATTGGACCCCTCGACAAGTAGCGACAATCCACATCTTTTTTCCTTTCGGGGCATTTAGGAAACCTATATATACCGGGGCATATAGGTACCACAATGATACACCATTATTTTTTTATAAAATAATGACTTTAAAAAATGTAATAATAAATAAATATCTACTTGTAAATCACAACATCTATACACATGCTGTCGTTAGACAAAGATAACTACTATGTAATTTATGTAATGAGTGAAAGGGACATTTCAAAAAGACATCAACGGGTGCTTCTTATCACTTTGCTCCATTATATTACCAGTATAAGTTGAACTCCCGTGCATTTGAAATAGGTCAACGTGATGTGAATAGAATTTACTTACCTATAAAATTTATGTCATCTTTTTGATAACTGGACGTCTTAGCTGACTAGCCATACTATTTTACTGCACAGGAAGCCATTTGTAATGTATTTTGGATACAAGACTATTTTTAAAGTAGAACTCGGACGTGGCCAGGATTCACAAACTTGGTCTACACTGATATCGTGATTCTTAGCGTTACCCTCCTCACGTAAAAACTTCTTATAAATTAGTATAGAGATCTAACTTTTATTATATAACAATATCGATAATCAATATATCGATAACCATTATATCGATAAAATTATTCGAAGATAGACATTTACAGCGCATTGTCAGCACTGTTTTTCAAAAAATAAATCTCAATTCTTGATGTTGGTAGAGCAGTTTAGCGCTCTTTCATACATTTACTTTTACTTGGAGTTTCGTCTGCTCTAACACTTCTGATTAGTTTGTGGTCCCGCCTCTTGAACGTATTGATTATATTCTCTTTGGTTGTGGTATTTAAGATTGCTTTATAGGGGATAATTTATTTTGGTCTATTTTTAACATAAAATGGTCCAGATCGCTCTCGCCTCTAGTTGGTATAGAATGACCAATATTCCGTGTGTTGATAACTGTATTTATATAAATAGGAAGCTATATTATTACTTTTAATGCACCCTTTATTAGGTTTTGGAATCAAATTTATGTTAATGTCTACGGTAATTATTATGTTACGATACGTCTTGATGGTTTCTAGATAAATATTTAGGGAATTTATAACATCAGTTACATTTTAATTTGACCTAGAGGGATAAATGCATAAAATAATATGGCCAAGTATTTTTATCTGAATGCGAGATGCATGACCGAGTTTAACTTCTGACACAGTATGTTT